TTACTAAATTTAATGAATATTGCGAAAAAATTTTAGTACCTGAGCACGCTTTCCAAAAATATAACTCGTGTTGAAGAGGGGGAATTATCAATTTACAAAATAGGTGTGATATGTTGAACTATGGTCAACTTAGACACCAGCTACAACTTTTCGGTGGGAAATATTGCAGTAAATTGGTAAATTTTCTTACTAATAAGGAAATCCTTAGTTTACTTTAAATTCCTTCAAAATGAATTACCATTTTTGTTAAATAATAGTGAATATGATGAAAAACATAACAACAAAAGAATAACAAAAACCCTCCCTAACTCAAGGGAGTTGGGACGGAGGAGGGAGTTGGAAGTATTTCCGGATACTTGTTCATTGCAATCTTTCCTCTTGTTTGGTAAGCATAGCCAGCTCCTTTTCAACACTCCGTATATTAGCTGTGTGAAAAATCCATCAAATGTGAATATAAATTTGAGTATCTATCGTTCTTCGTCACATAATAGTATTTTGTGAAGTTTTAAGTATTAAAGACCGACAAATTTATCCCAACATTTCATGATATTTAAAATTGCAGTGTACATGTTTATTTAAAGATTTGAACAAATCTTTCATCAAGATGGTTGTTGTCAAGTTAAAACTAAAAAAGTTAGATTCCCGCAGACCCTCTTCTATCAGGCTTACTTTGCTCATCAACGACCTCATCCTTTTTCATGGACATCTAGACTATGTGTAGTAAATTTAATAGCTTGATCTCAAAAACTGTGACTGCTATTGCGATACCGATACACAGACATGCAGACAAATTTTTTACTGAAATAATGTTTCTTCATCGTAATTCATCGAGATTTATTTAGAAATGCAATAAAGAAAATAAATTAAAAGTGAGGAAGCAACTAAGACAATTAATTCTGTTGAAGGACCAAAGTGGCACAGATTAGGTTATCTGCTAATCTGATGAATTACATTTAACAATTGCACAACTGAAGTGTTGTTTCATAAAAGTTGGAATATTCTTAATTTACTAAATGTTGACTTTTTAATTAACATACTTCACTCATAAATCATGTGCATCCTGTAAATAATTTTAAAAGAAAGTTTTAAAAATTAAATCACCTTCGGTTCCTTGTAGTTGTACAGATATGGGTCCAACAACTGTTCTATTTTTTCAAAGCTGTTATTTCTTAATAGATGCACACTGTGACTTAATATTGCACAATAATATAAGAGAATTATAGATAACTATTAATTCTTTAATAGCAATAAACTTTTATACTTAATATGCATTGTTTGCCAAGTATTGATATAAACGCATTCGTTAATATTTCGGTAGTCAATATGGCTAATAAACGTGTAAATGAAGGAAAACTGTATAGTTTCTTGGAGATGTGCTTTGAAATTATTCAAGTAAGCCACATGAAACTAAACAGGTATAATGTGAAGTAATAGTCCAAGAGCTGGCGTCCAAAATGTGCAAGAGTTTTCTCAAAGCTAATTTTTTGAGATTAGGTTACTTTTTAGTGATGGAAAATAACTGTAGAGTCAGCACTTCCGATACCGGGACACCTGGCGCTGGGACGCTCGCAAAGGTGTAATATTAATTAACGTCTCTAAACTGTTTTCTCAAAGCTCAAAATTTATAGAGAATGAGCAAATATAATATAAAACAAGAATTCAACAGTCAGACAGCAAAATATAGGGACACGTGACGTCAGCGCTACTTCACACCTGTCAAAAAAATGACGTGTGTTAAAGTGATTTCTCAAAGCTGAAATTCTCCAAAACATTAATTAAAACTATAAAGTTAATAAAGGAGACAGTTATACTCATTTATGATAGGACCACGTCAGTCAGCAGTTGATAGATGTGAGAACGGTAACTGCGCGTATTAGTACTCCTTTTCTCAATACATATCATTTATTTTATATAGAATAATAATTTTAATTGTTTCTTAATAATTGTAATTGTTATATATCAGTTATTATATAGATATCAGTTATTTTATACAAGAAAAAATAATTTTAATTATTTTATAACAGAAAAAAAAGAATCATTGATTCATTGAAAAAAAAAACATCTAATCGTCGTGTTCTTCGCCACTATCTTCATTAGAATAAAACGCGATTGCACCATATTCTTTGGCGTCATCAGTGGTGGTTGATTTCGAATCTGTGTACAAATCAAAAATTCAGCGTTAAGCAATACATTACATTAATACGTAAGGTTTTGAATCACATTTGCGAGTCGACTGGCAAAAATTACCTGCAGGTGTATCATCCGGTTGAATCAAAACGTCAGAAATGAAATTAAGTCTTCGTACCAACTGAAATCATATCGGCCATCGATCAACTGCCAACCATTTTCCTTTGGAATCATTGCAGTGGGCACTTTTTCATCAGCATGGCTCCAATCAGCATGACTCCAATTCGCTTCTTTAGCAAAGAGTAGTTTATTCTTTGTTTTTAGTTAGAGAATAAATAATAAAATTAAATACAGAAAATTCAGAACGCGGTCAAAGAAGACCGGCAATCGGCGCTTTATATAAAAACGATAAAACGTAAACATCATAGCCACGACAACACTTGTACTCCGCCGGCCGGTATTATTTTGATTTTTTGTTATCGTACAACACGCTTACCGATAGGCGGGCAGGTGCGGACTTATTTGAAGTGCGTGCTTTTGATTAAAATTTAAATTTAATTATTCTACAACCGACTTGCGGCAAGTCAGCGCCCCCAAAATTCAGCGCCCCAGGTGACCGCCTGGCTCGCCTGCCCATCGGGCCGGCCCTGGTAACCCACATTCCATTGAATTATAAATTAAACAATATGTATTGAGAAAAGGCGTACTAATGCGCGCAGTTACCGTTCTCACATCTATCGACTGCTGACTGACGTGGTCCTATCATAAATGAGTCTGACTGTCTCCTTTATTAACTTTATGGTTTTAATTAATGTTGGGAGAATTCCCCCTCTGGGAAAAAACCCTAAAACCCCCCCTTTTTTTAAAAGGATGGAAGAACCCCCCCCCCCCCCCCCCCCCTTTTTTTCCTTTTTTTTTTTTTTTTTTTTTTTTCCTTTTTTTTTAATTTTAAAAAAAAATTACCCCCCCACCCCCCCCGAAGTGCTGACTCTACAGTTACTTTCCATCACTAAAAAGTAACCTAATCTCAAAAAATTAGCTTTGAGAAAACTCTTGCACATTTTGGACACCAGCTCTCCGACTATAATTGATAACTGTAAATTTATTGTATCGGAGCTTAGTTTGAATTTGACAGAAAAATATTTGTTTTCTAGATACAATATTTTCACTACAAATAAATTTTCCTAAACTGGAGGACTACTGTTCGGATCTCCCTTTTCTAAGTTATGCACACATATAATTCGCAACACTAAGTATTAGTTAAGTAATTTATTTGAAATGTTTACAGAAAAGTTACTTCAGTGTGACAAAGAACGGATTCAATTTTCAATACGAAATAACGACAAATAAAAAAGATATCCAATAACGAGTTTCCCCACCGTGATAGTTTATGCACTCGGAGTTTACTTTATATCAAATGATCAATATTGCTTTGTGATATACCATTCCAACTGTTTGTATACGAAGTTGAAGATCATTGACATTGTTGGGGGGTGGGGTAAATTACCCAGTCTTACACCGATCATATTCCAGACAAGTTCAATCGATGAGAGGTCGGGTGAATGGCAGAACATACACATTAACTTTTTAAAAAAACTGTGTAGTATCTCGTGCTGTGTTGAGGCGAGCACTGTCTTGGTAAAAAATTGCATTAATCGATCTCCGAAGATATGGCGCTGAAACAGATTCGAATACGTTTGTTATGGAACAGGCCACGTTCAAATTGCACTGAACGAAAACTAAAGCTGGCCTACTGCAAAAACTAACACCATCACGTGTAAGAGTAATATGACAGTCAATAGCTAATTGTAAATTCTTTCGTTCTCCATGGAAATATCTCATCCTCCTTCGTCCATCATGGGTCCGCAAAAAAAAACGGAATTCGTCACTAAAGACTACATAATACTATTCCTGTGCCCAATGCACCTGCTCATTACACCAATCCAGCCAGCGGACGCGATGAAATGGAGTAAAGGGTAGGCATAAATGGTCGATAGGAAGGAACGTAGCCCAAAAGATCTGAATCGTCGATATACGGACTGAATCCACAACAGCGCCCATTAAGACTTTCTTTAGATTAACAACCAGCATCTTAATAGAGTTGGCACGTTTTAATCATTTCTTTGTTAAATTGAAGTATATGAGTTCAGAATGGTGATTCCGAAAGTTTAGAATTAGGTACTATTTTGCAAAAAAATTGTTTTGTTTTGATCAAATTCAAATTAATCTCAAAATATAACGCTAGATACCTGAAAAATGTTTCAATAAGTGAGATAATCAGTGAGATATATCGATGTTTGAGTAATAAGTTCTATTTAATTTGTTTTTAAAATAACGTGTACAGGGTGTCCCAGCTAAGATGTTACTCGCGATTTTCTCGGTAATTTTCAAGACAAACTCGTAGTTTAAACACTAATGTGATGCAGTTTTTTCCAAGGAATCAGATGCGGCTAAAAAAGAAACAATTGAATAGCAAATAAAAAAAGTTATTGCCGAAAAACCGATTATTTTATCAAAAGCGGATTAACGCTGACGTAGTTTTCCATGAATCACCAAAACACTATATACTGCACTTGGGGTGCGTTTCACCAACCAAATTGGCATCATTTGGAGGTGATTAAATCAATTTTAAACTTCTCCAGATGATGCCAACTTAGTTGGCAAAACGCGTGTCGAATGCAGTATATAGTGTTTTGGTGTTTTGTGGAAAACTACGTTAGTGTTATCTTCACATCAAAGGTTACAACTCATTCCAGGACAAAAGCGGATTATCATATTTCTTGTTGTATGGATATATGGAACAAATTCCGCATATTCAGTTTTTCTATGTCACTTTCGGTTTGGCCAGAAATCACTTTCTCTTCCAATTGTGTGGCTTCGTGGTCGAATGATAAGAACATTTACCTTTAACCGTAGAGTCCCGGGTTCGATCCCCGGTCGAGGAGTTAGGATTTTTTTTTTAACCAAAAATTTATCCTAGGATACTCTACCTTGAGGTATCTTCAGGGATACAGGGGGTTGTATTACCTGTGGTGTATAATATATTTTGGTTTCATTCAATAGAACATTCAAATTATCTATCAAAAGTGCATAAACCACTTTTAGGATATCTCTATTTTCAAAATATTAATAACTCTTTAATTTTATCCTTATATCTTGCATACAGCACGCGGTTTAAGTGACATCGCAGTTATCTGTGGTTAAGGCGCCTTGTTTTCATTATTAGAGCCAAATTGTAGTGGGCAGGTATCAAAAATTTTGAAGGAGAAAATTATTTTCGACCAAATCGGAAGTGATATAAAAAAACTGAATATACTGAATTTTTCCAGTAATACCCTGTAACAAAGAATATAATAATACGCCATTTTGATTTTCTTTTTAAATTCTGTTTTTCTGCGTATTTTTTTTATCTGATTGTTTCTTTCTTGGCTGCATCGGTTTCCTCGGAAAAAACTACATAACACTAGTTTTTGAATTACGAAATTGTCTTGAAAATTACCGAGAAAATCGCCAATGACATCTCAGCTGGGATACCCTAGATCTATTGTTAGTTAAAAGTAGGGATAATTTTTAATAATTTTATGATATTTTTCCTAAATATGGAAACCATTTGAATCATAGAGAAAACCGAAATGTTGTTACCGTGTGTACCATAACTGCATGGATATTGAATCACCTCAAATTCTTGATGTCAAAATAAGTTGATTTAACTAAACTTACATATACAATATCAAAATGCTTTGTTTGGCCATATTCAAGTTTTAAATTTTGCTGAAATTGCAATGTTTCTTTTTAATTACTCGGAAATACTTTAAGCCAATTGAATAAAAATTAGTGTGGTGTGGTGTTATAAAGACCGTCTTCGAATGGCCGCTTCAATTTTATCAGAAATCCAGAAAAGTAAAAACTACCGCTATACTGGAACAAATTACCTTATAATTCTGTTCACTGTAGAAATACAAAATTTAGAATTTTTTTTTTTTTTTGAATAATACAGCTTTTCCGAATATTTTTTTGACTCAAATAATTTTAATATTTTCGATAATTCCGATGGAAAAAATGTTTCTAAGCCAATAGATAATAATAATAATAAACATCTTTATTGAGACATTTTAAAATGTTTCTTGGGCGAGCTCAGCAGGAAGGCTGTCGCTTAGCATATGCTATTCTACCACTTACTTCCAAATCTCACTTTTGTCATTGACCTGAATAAAGTCAACGCTTTGACTATAATATTGTGAATTATTCCCAGAAAAGTAGTTTATAACATTAAATGAATACACTAAATTCAAAAATATTATGGCTTTTATTGATACGTTAATGATGTTCAATATACCCAACGTCTACAGACATACAGAGATTGATCCTACACAAATAAATACATTGTACTCTTCTCAACATTTCTTCATTCTGAAGAGAGTTTACAGCGATTTGTATCCTTGTCCAGAGTTGCTCGTCTGTGCCAATTTTGACTTAATATACTTTTTCTTTGATAGCTCCCCAATGAAAGAAATCACAATGGTTCATATTTGGTAATTATGGTGGCCACGTAGTGGTAGTATATTGTCCTCTGCCAATCCTTCCTTATATCAAGAAGATTATTTCGAAGGAAATTTAAATAATTGTTACTAGTAGATGGAAATTAGTCTGAAAACGGGAGAAAAAATTTTGAAATTTTGGTGACATGTTCAGAATATAGGTAAAAATTGAAAAATAAAAAAGTTCCCACCCCTAAAGTGCGAGCTTCATCACCTACTCCTCAAGAAAGATGCATTTGTGTGGTATTTTCAATTTTTTAGCAAGACGGTGACCAATACAAAGAAAAATGTAGAAAGAGAAAATGTTGCCCATCAATTCTAGGTCCTTAGCATATTTTCGATAGATCAAATAGGAAAAAACCACAAAAATGCATTTTTTTTGAGGAGGTAGGGGGGTAAACTTTTTAGTTTTCGATTTTTACCTACGTTCTAAATATATCACATTTCAAAACACCATTATTTTTTCTTCTAAAATGTTTAATTTCCATGCATTATATGGTCAAGACGATCTGATGTCCTAAATGATCCAATCAAAAATTTACTAACATTTCTAACCATCCTTTAATCTACAATTTCCTCTGGTAACGCCTCCCCATAATTTCATGAGGGTTTTCATCTGAATACACAAGTTGATTACAAAGATTTGTGGTATCACATCTTGTAAAATAGGTCTCTTGTCTTCTATTACGTTGTCCACTTTCGAATGCCTTGAAAACATCTGAGACTACCGAGGACAACCAGCATTAATTTTGTGGGTCTTATCCGATCGGTTTCCCGAAGGCACTTTTTAACATTAGCAAACATTTATCTTAGCAAACATTTGTCAGTTTAGAGTTTTACAATTGAGAAACCTTTCAAACACTTTCGCGGCAATTATCTTTACAAAATCGCATAACTTATCGACTTGCTGCGCAAAACTGTATTGGAAAGCCATTAAAATTAACTCAACAAGTAGGCAAGAAATGTCAGGAATGATTGATCGTCAAAGTCAATAAATATCACACATAGCAACAGTTATGATCTTTTTTGTACATGATATTTGACATTTTTTTGCGTCAAGGCTAAACATTTGCTAGATTTTTCAATACATGACTTTGACGTAGTATTCATTAATAAATAAATTACTTTTCCGAGAACGATCCTGAATATTATAATCAAAGACGACGCGAGGTTTGGAAATAATTGGGTTAGAAACTTTTTTTCACCGAAACTATTCAGGTGTCAAATTTTTACTAGAGTAAAAAATATTCGGTTACAGTGGATTTTTTCAAGTGTACACAGATAAAAATTATACGGCATTTGTTCATGTATGGTTTTTTGAATTGAAATAGGCATTAGAAAATGTGCCATTATGTAGATCTATCGGAACACTACATCATATTTTGTCAAATCGCTTATGACGTGTCAAAGCGGTTTTAGAAAAACAATTTTTTTTACCAATTTTGATGCACGATTGCGGCGATGCTCATTATTTTGGGTGCCTATATACCATATGGCTAAATCGATTTATTTTGGCCTCAGTAATATGCGGTGGTTCTACGTCCATACAATTATGGAACCCATATATTAGACTAATTAAATCTTCTAGAAATTAATCAAAAATACACCAAAATTCAGCATAACTTTGATCAATTTTAATATAATCTTGTCTGTAGAAAATGGTGTCATATTTTAAGAAATTGTTTACAATTTCTGTTATCCTTCATCTATAATTTACATTAAATACAATTATTATTTAAAGTACTGTCATATCCCTACTTTTGAAGATATCTCTAAAATGTTGATACCCAATTGGTTGTACTAGTCCTATTAAATTTTAAACTATACGTAAGACTCCCTTATAAATTTTTTTTAGTTAAAATTTCTCTTAAGCTCTGCTAGATTTACAAAGACAATAAAAGAAAACTGATAAAACTGAGTCATTATCTATAATGTGTTAGTCAGAGTAGTAGCAAATAATTAATATTTCTTTGTAAATCAAAGCCCTAAATAACTAATGCATTAATCTAAATAATACCTAATACTTTTGCCTTAAAAAATAAATTGTAACCCTTGTACTATCATTATTGTTGTGTATATACATTTGTTACTTCATTTTTAGGAATACTCCATTTCTCATCATGTGATACATACAAAATTTCATTTCTATAACTGTACATAGTTTCTACATTCCTGAAAACTCATCAATCGATGGTTGTTACCAGAAATTATAATTAGATAGGTATGAAAGATTTATTAGGTTATTATAAATAAAAACAAAATTATATTTGCTATTTTATTTATATCCCTATTTCTTTCAGAATGATATGGTGGCTAATAATTCACAGGTCAACATTTAGTTTAAAAAAAAAACACCAGACTCTACCTAGGTTCCCAGGGGGGTTTTGGGGTCGCTGATTCCGATGTCAAGTTCGGTTAAGCTCTATCACGTCAGGTTCAAGGTTAATTGAAGGTCAAACTAAGAAAAGGTGGTTGAATGATCATACATAGGTTTTTGGGGTCGCTGAGTCGAATCCGGTAATCGCTTACCCTTAGAACAAATTTCAAAAGTCTGACATTTCAAGGTTAATTTGAGAAAAACAGAGGAGAAGCTGTCAAGAAATCTGAAAAAAATTCATACATAGGTTTTTGGGGTGGCTGAGTTTGAATGCGGAGATGGCCCATTAAGGTCGCTCAGACGTTATTTTAAGGTCATTATGAGGATGAATTGATACACTTGAAAAATCTGAAGGTTTTTCGGGATTCCAAATATCAGTTTATCTAGATGACCTTTTTGTCAGATCCGCACCGTCAAGTTACAATACACGACCGACTTTGATATTAGCCTGCATTCGTCTGCCAACTTTTGCTGCACGTGAAGATTCTTCCACTATCTCAGTGCAAGTATATTTAACTCAATGAATCACCTACTCATTTTTTTCTATGAAAGTTGACGAACTTGTATTGATTTGATGAATTGACTTGTTGAAGGTTTTCAAAAGTTTTTTTTTAATCCAGTTTTTGTACAATCACGCAAAACCGAGAGAGAATGGTCAAAGAAGAAGACAAACTGACAAGGAGGCAGACAGACTGTCAGTGGACATTTAGACGGAGGGTGGCAGGAAAACAAACAGACATTTAGTCATTTAGTCAGACAGGAAAGTAGACAAAATTACCGACAGAAAGACAGGATGTCAGGTAGATGTAGAGAGAGAAAATGCAGGCAGACGATAAATACACACTAACAAGCAAACAAACAGGTGTGCAGGTAAAAAGACAGACAGATAAACAGACAATAAGTAGGCAGGTGAGCATTCGTATAAATTTTTTCCAATTTTTTTCACCTCCTATTCTTGCTTTAACCTTCAAATAAACTTAAACAATAGGTGATAGAGGTCAATTGACATCGGATTCGGACTCAGCGACCCCAA